CTTTTGAACGCATCTTTGGCTATCCCAATGCACCTTCGGATTTCCATGTCACACTTTCTGTCCTCTGTTAAAACACACTATATTTTACTGTTTCTTAATACTTTGCTTAGCTTTTGGAACGCATTTTCCTATCCCAATGCACCTTCAGTTTCCATGTCACACTTTCTGTCCTCTGTTAAAACACTTCCCAGATATTTTTACTGTTTCTTAATACTTTTTGCTTAGCTTTTGAAGGCATCTTTCACTATCCCAATACCTTCGGATTCCATGTCACACTTTCTGTCCTCTGTTAAAACACTTCCCCAGATATTTTACTGTTTCCTAATACTTTGCTTAGCTTTTGAAGGCATCTTTTATCCCAATGCACCTTCATTTCCATGTCACTTTTTCTGTCCTCTGTTAAAACACTTCCCAGATAATTTACTGTTTCTTAATACTTTGTTAGCTTTTGGAATGCATCTTTTGGCTATCCCAATGCACCTTCCCATTTCATGTCACACTTTCTGTCCTCTGTTTAAACACTTGGGATTTTTTTTCTGTTTCTTAATACTTTGTTTAGCTTTTTGGAAGGCATCTTTCGCTATCCCAATGCACCTTCCGATTTCAGTGTCACACTTTTCCGTCCTCTGTTAGAACACTTCCCAGATATTTTCTGTTTTGTAATACTTTGTAGCTTTTTGAACGCATCTTTTGGCTATCCCAATGCACCTTCAGTTTCCATGTCACACTTTCTGTCCTCTGTTAAAACACTTCCCAGATATTTTACTGTTTAATACTTTGCTTAGCTTTTGAACGCATCTTTGGCTATCCCAATGCACCTTCTTCGATTTCCATGTCACACTTTCCTCCTCTGTTAAAACACTTCCCAGATATTTTACTGTTTCTTGATACCTTGCTTAGCTTTTGGAACGCATCTTTGGCTATCCCAATGCACGTTCGTATTTCCATGTCACACTTTCTGTCCTCTGTTAAAACACTTCCCAGATATTTTACTGTTTCTTAATACTTTGCTTAGCTTTTGGAACGCATCTTTGGCTATCCCAATGCACCTTCGGATTTCCATGTCACACTTTCTGTCCTCTGTTAAAACACTTCCCAGATATTTTACTGTTTCTTAATACTTTGCTTAGCTTTTTGGAGCATCTTTGGCTATCCCAATGCACCTTCAGTTTCCATGTCACACTTTCTGTCCTCTGTTAAAACCTTCCTAGATATTTTACTGTTTCTTAATACTTTTGCTTAGCTTTTTGAACGCATCTTTCACTATCCCAATGCACCTTCGGATTTCCATGTCACACTTTCTGTCCTCTGTTAAAACACTTCCCAGATATTTTTTGCTGTTTCTTAATACTTTGCTTAGCTTTTGGAAGGCATCTTTCACTATCCCAATGCACCTTCAGTTCCATGTCACACTTTCTGTCCTCTGTTAAACACTTCCCAGATATTTTACTGTTTCTTAATACTTTGCTTAGCTTTTTCCATCTTTCACTATCCCAATGCACCTTGGTTTCCATGTCACACTTTCTGTCCTCTGTTAAAACACTTCCCAGATATTTTACTGTTTCCTAATACTTTGCTTAGCTTTTGGAAGGCATCTTTGGCTATCCCAATGCACCTTCGGATTTCCATGTCACACTTTCTGTCCTCTGTTAAAACACTTCCCAGATATTTTACTGTTTTCTAATACTTTTGCTTAGCTTTTGGAACGCATCTTTCACTATCCCAATGCACCTTCAGTTTCACACACTTTCTGTCCTCTGTTAAAACACTTCCCAGATATTTTTTCTGTTTCTTAATACTTTGCTTAGCTTTTTGGAAGGCATCTTTCACTATCCCAATGCACCTTCGGTTTCCATGTCACACTTTCTGTCCTCTGTTAAAACACTTCCCAGATATTTTACTGTTTCTAATACTTTGCTTAGCTTTTTGGAACGATCTTTCACTATCCCAATGCACCTTCATGTCACACTTTCTGTCCTCTGTTAAAACACTTCCCAGATATTTTACTGTTTCCTAATACTTTTGCTTAGCTTTTGAAGGCATCTTTAAGCTATCCCAATGCACCTTCGTTTCATGTCACACTTTCTGTCCTCTGTTAAAACACTTCCCAGATAATTTACTGTTTCTTAATACTTTGCTTAGCTTTTGGAACGCATCTTTGGCTATCCCAATGCACCTTCGGATTTCCATGTCACACTTTCTGTCCTCTGTTAAAACACTTCCCAGATATTTTACTGTTTCTTAATACTTTGCTTAGCTTTTGGAAGGCATCTTTCACTATCCCAATGCACCTTCGGATTTCCATGTCACACTTTCTGTCCTCTGTTAAAACACTTCCCAGATATTTTACTGTTTCCTAATACTTTGCTTAGCTTTTGGAAGGCATTTTTTGTTATCCCAGTGCACCTTTGGATTTCAGTGTTGGACTTTCTCTACTCTGTTAAAACACTTTCCAGGTATTTAAATTGTTACATTGGGTTAAGATATTGTAAAATCAACCAACCATCTTATTTTTTTTACTCTAGTTCTTCCCACATTGCATGGCTATCTACCCATGTAGTGTGGAGAATAATCCCAAATAAGTTTCACCTTTAACCCTTTTATAATACATTTAATCCACACCAAACACGCTCCCATAAATATCGGCTCTCAATGTTCAACCTGCTGTAACCTGCCCTATGTAAACTCTACCATATATGACGAAATCATTGCAAACAGTGAGAATTTGACTATGGATATTTATGTGGAGTAGGGTGGCTGTTGAGTGTATTGAATGCTTAAGGGTTAAATAACCCACAAAGAATTTGACACTCAAATAACCTCTTGAAGTATTGGGTCAACCATTATCTATCCTCATAGTCTGCACATCTTAGTATATCAGGTATTACAACAACTTCATTCAGTAAATGTTATGTAATAGACTGACCTTCTCTACACTAATTGTGGAACATGGAATCACCTATCAGCTATGTGTAAAATGTCTGCTCATAGGAAAAGTCATTGCAGTATAGCATTGAGTTGTAAGCATTGCCACAATGAACTATGGTATTCCCTGTTACTGTATTATTAATCCATGTCTTTTATGTGATTAAACCTGTTCTTCATTCAACATTTCGTTCCAGTATTTCCTTACAGTATTATTAACTAGAACTATGGTGTTCCCTATAACTGTATTGGTTTAGTTTGTTTTGTTTTATGGCATATCAACACCTCAATGGGTTAATTAATGCCAACAAAATTTTTATTGCTGGTAATATGTTTTTCTTCAAAAATCTATTTTTGGGAATATTTTTTCCTTGAAGAAAACTATAGTCGGTAATATTTTTTTCAAAGAATGTATAGTTTTTTGTATTGCTGGTACTTTTTTTTTAAAAGTATTTTTGATAATTTTTCCTTCAAAAATTATTGCTGGTAATATTTTTCTTTTATTACAAAGTATTTTTGGTATTAAAATCTATTTTTACACAAGTTTGGGTGTTAACTATTTTCCCATAGCTGGGACCCTAACAGGTGCTATCACCCCGGGTCTGGGTGGACCTGGGAATGCCAGTAATTAAGAGGTGGTTCCATGCTCCTCAAAACCTCCTGATCAGAGGCCTTGCTGTTGGACATAGTTTATTGTCATACTCAGGACGCAGATGTAGTTTGTCATACCCAGCACGTGGATGTAGTTTATTGTCATACCCAGGACGTGGATGTAGTTTATCGTCATACTCAGGATGCAAATGTAGTTTATTGTCATACCCAGGATGGCTTACTGTATTATTAATCAATGTCTCTCATGTGATTAAACCTATTCTTTATTCAATATTTCATTCCAGGGTTTCCTTACAGTATTATTAACCAGAATTATGATATTCCCTATTACTCTATTATTAATCTATATGATTAAACCTGTTCTTCACTCAACCTTTTGTTCCAGTGTTTCCTTAGAATATTATTAACCAGAATTACGGACATTATTCAAACTTAATAACAGCAACCTTCTGTCTTGAGTTGTTCTTAGAAACTGTATTGTGTGGAAAATAGTAAAAAAAACCAAAGATAGTTCTTAGGTAATTTGCAGGTGTTGCTCCAATTTTTCTTGGCAATTCTGAGGTTTGTCTTTACTATGTGCTGCTGGCTTCTTATGAGCTGGTCTCTTATTCTGTGGTCTGTTAGGTTGTATTTGAATGTTTGATTTTTATATACTGTTTTCTGGGTGCTTCAAGACAGACTCTAACAAGTAAAGGCATTATCTGCAAATCTTGGCTGACACAAGGAGCTGTTCTGATCTATTTCTGACCTTTGCATTTTACATATAGTTAAATGGCCAGTATTTTATTGAAGCATTTAATTTCAAAGGCACCTCTTTACCTTAATTGTTATCTTACAGCTTGTAATGAGAAATGTGGGTTGGTGCTCTTGTTAACTATACCCACTGATTTGTCCACCATGCAATTGATATGCAGGTTGTGTAATAGAGGATGCACGGTGGAGTAATGGATAGCAGAGGATGCACGGTGGAGTAATGGATAGTGGCTTCGATTGAGGAATCGGAGAGCCAAGTTCGAATCCCAGTCGAATCCATTACATTCACTTACATGCTAATACTCTTGGGAAAGGTGTGAATCCTCTTCTTCTCCCTCCAGCTATGGGTAAATAACAGGACAGACTGGGTTCTATAGCCTTGGATGGCAACTGGTCTAGGAGAAGGAAAACTCTGAATTCAAAACCTGTGGAGGGTCGTTTGGGGATCTTGTGGCATGTAGTGCACCAGGTCTTAGTATTCGGCCCTTCAAAAAGTGTGGATGGTCTTGCACGAAACCTTCACCACTATAATCAAAATCTCATGTGGTATACATGCGGGTTGGGGACAGCTTGTGAATTCAAAAAAAAATTCCAATGAAACTCCAATATTGGAGCCGGCTCAACCCACCTTGGGTGAATGCCGTTACAAGAAGAAGAAGAAGGTTGTGTAATAGTGGTTCTGAATAAGTAATTGATAAACCAAGTTCAAATTTGAAACACCAGTTCCCATATGGTCAGTAAAGTTAAGCAATGTTGAGACTAGTCAGTACCTAGGTGGGTGACCACTTGGGAAAACCAAGTGCTGTCAGCTTGAATGTACAGCTGACATAATGGATAATGGCTTGGAATTGTTAATCAGAGAGCTGAGTTCTAGTTCTTGTTAGGTTCATTATATTCACTTATGTGGAAATATCTGTAGGAGAGGTAAGAATTCACCTTTCTCCCCACTTAGTAAGACTTGTATCACTAAGCCATTATTGTCTCCTAAAAATATTCTTACAATTTAAAAATATTTACTGGCTTTAAATAGCCTGCCCATGGTTGATTGGCGATAGGAAACCAATCAATCAATCTCGTATATAAAAGTTGTTGAGATCGGGCAAGGAAATGAGGGGCCACACGGATATGTCTGTTAGTATTATTTATAGTCTCTGGAATATGAATGTATAGAAAATACACTGGCCAAAAAGTGAGGGATCAGTTTATGTAGTGCTTGTAATACAGAATAATCCCCAGTATATATGCACATTAGAATTTCTTGTTTATTAAATTCTGATTAGGTATGAATCCTCCTTTTCTCCCTTCAGCTATAAGTTAGTAAGACTTGTATCACTAAACCATTATATTAAAAATTTCTTACAATCTAAAAATATTTTCTGGCTTTAAATAACCTGCAAAGGGTTGATAAGCAGTAGAAAATGAACGAATGAATCTATCAATCCAGTTGAGTTCACTATATTCACTTATGTGCAAATACCCTTGGGAAAAGCATGGATCCATTTATTCTTCCCCCAGCTAATAGTTAAATAGGAGAAATCATAGTTTCTCTTTAAAAAAACAAACTCTTAAATTAATATTCACTCACAAAAAAATCAACTCATAATGGGTTGATAAGCTGTAAAAAACGTATCAATTATCCACCATGCAAGACTACCAGTAGTTCTGGGATAATCCTAAATATTTTCAAACTGAAGGCCAAGTTGATGCAGTATGTATGTGAGTAAAAGCAATGTATGGTGTATTATGTACAATGTCTTTTCAGGATGTGGGCGATCATGACTCTCTTTAACTTCACATCCTTTGTAGCTCTAAGCAATGTTTGTCCCTTTACTACCCATCCCAATCTCTCTTTTGTCATCTGTTTATACAAGCTCATTAGGTAGGATACTCTCTGCCCATCTTGTCTTCTGTATGTCGTGTGAGTGTTAAATCCCCCCCCCAACTCTCTTCTTTTCATTGTGTGTCCTAGAAATTTCAACTCTCTTTTTAAGGCTAAGTATGTGTGTCCTTTTTGTTTCCATTTTACTTAAAACAATTTTCTTATATATTCTCAGCATCCTTCTGTAGACCCCACATCCCAGTTACCTTCTCTTCATCTGTTTGGAAACTGCTCAGCATTCATTGCCATATAGGAGGTTTGATATTATGTCAGGTTTGATATTACATAGTTCAGTATTATTTCCTTTGTTTCTAACAATATTTTTCTATCTCTAAATACTTTGCTTTGTCTATGAAAAGCATGAAGAGATTGTCCAGCATTCATTGCCCTATATGAGGATTGATATTACATAGCAGTCAGGCACTCCTTTCTTTGTTTCTAACAATATTTTCCTATCTCGTAATACTTTGCTTAGTTTATGAAAGGCATGATAAGATTGTCCAGCATTCACTGCCATATATGTGATTAAATATTACATCGCAGCCCAGCACATTTTACTTTGTTACTAATGGTTGTTTATCATCTCTTAATACTTGAATTAGTTTCTAAAAGTCATCTTCTGCAATTTCTATGCACTTTTGAATGTTGACTGTCTCTTTTTGATTGCAAATATCAATTTCTTTAGACTTCTTGTTTTCTTTAGGGACTTACCCATTGCTCATATGTTCCATCCATGTTATTCTCAGCATCCTTCTGTTGCTGCATCTTCATCTTTTTGGAAACTGTCCAATATTCATTGCCTTATAAGATGTTTGAGATTACATAGCATTTCCTCACTGTTTTTTATCGTCAGACATTTTAAATGCATCAACAGAAAAAAAGAAAAGAAATTTGAAAAATTCAGCACAACATTCCAAAGCACTGTAATACAATCAACTCCTGAATGATCCAAATCAACAGAATTTATGGTTGTCAGGAAAAAAAACAGCCCAACATGCAAACTAAGAATTGGATATGCCAAAATTAAACAAGAATTTAAAAAAAAAAAAAGGATGGAAAATGTAACATCAAAATCAGAAGTCACACTGGAATAGCAAAAGTTGACTTCCAAAAGCTAAGCAATGTATTAAGAAACAGGAAAATTTAATTGGAAACAAAGGAAAAACTAATGAATTGTTATGTAATATTGGTACTTCTATATAGCAGTAAATGTTGAAACATCATCTCACAGGTGAAGAAGGGACATGAAGCAACAGAAATGTGATTCTACAGAAGGATGCTGAGAATACCATGGACCAAACATGTGAACAATGGTAAAGTTTTAGAGAAAAAAGAAACATACACATAGCATCAGAAAGATAGAATTGAAATTACTAGGAAATCTAATGAGGAAAGATAGCTTAGAAAATTTGATACTCACAGGACATATTCAAGGCAAGGGGAACAGAGGAAAGCAGCATATAATCTACCTAAAGAGCTTGTGTAAATGATTGGTAGAAAAGGAATTAGTAGACATAATAATAATTGGTAGAAAAGGGATTAGTAGACATAATAATAATTGGTAGAAATGGGATTAGTAGATAATAATTGGTAGAGAAGGGATTAGTATATATAATGATAATTGGTAGAGAAGGGATTAGGAGATATGATAATAATTGGTAGAGAAAGGATTAGTAGATATAATAATAATTGGTAGAAAATGGATTAGTAGATATAATAATAATTGGTAGAAGAGGGATTAGTAGATATAATAATAATTGGTAGAAAATGGATTAGTAGACATAATAATAATTGGTAGAAGAGGGATTAGTAGATATAATCAAAACGAGAAACTACAATGAGTGCTTCAAAGGTCAAGAAGTTATGGAAAGTCATGAGCATGCAAATCCTGACAAGGCATCGCACATAAAAATAAATTTTGACGTTTCTTTTTTTTTTTTTTTGCTATGTTATAAAGAAATTGCAAAATACAAGAAATCCTGATCAGAACAAACAGTTACTAGTGAAGAAACCAATAAAAGTACTTCTTCAATCACATGCCTTTCAATTTTGTTTCAAAATTTAATGAGAAAAATAAACTTTGGGTGTGATATCATTAAACTGAGCAGTTTGAGGAAATAAAGCAAAAAACAAATACATTTTAAAGCTAGTATAATTTCAAAACATATTTCAGTTTCTTTGATTGATGAATTAAATAAAAGATAATTCTAATCTGTGAGAAATGAAAAAGATAAAATCATTTGAACTTGTGCGTTCTTCAATAGCAAAGGTTTTGAAGTTCCAACAAAGAGTGGATTTGGAAGATAAAAGCTGAAGAAAGAAAGTAAAACCAAAATCCAAATATTCAATATGAAGTTATGATGCTTTTCCCAATAATTCCAGAGAGATTAAATTTAAAAAAAAAAAAAAAAAATGGTGATTGGAAAAGCACAAATATGCAACCATTTTTATTTTAGACATGGCAAAGTATAAAGAAGGAATATGTATCTCAAGTCTTACAAAATGCCAGATATGACTGGGTAAATGCAACCTGTTTAAATATATTGATTAAAATATATTTTTACAGGTAAGAATGATGGAGCATTTATAGATATAGACAGTATGAACATACTAATCAACAATTGGGCACTTTTTAAATATCCGGGTAGCATTCTGACAGAGGACAGTAAATGTGACACTGATATCTGTAGCTGTATTGGGATGGCCAAGGGACTCATTCCAAAAGCTGGGCAGAGTATTGCAAGACAAGAGGATTTCTTTGCTAACAAAGGAAAGAATATTGAGCTGTTACATGACTCCTCTTTTACAAAACCTCCTACAGAAGGTAGCAATGGAGAGTGAGAAGAAAGGACTAAGCATAACCTACAAGAAGACAGAATGCATGGTCATCAGTAAGAGGATGAACCCAAAATGCAATTTGCAGGTCAGGGACACTAGGATCAAGCAGATGCAGAAGTTTAAATATCTGGGAAGCGTCTTGACAGAGAACGGTAAGTGTGACAGTGATATCCTTAGATATATTGGGATGACCAAGGATGCATTCCAAAAGTTGGGCAGACTATTGCAAGATGAGAGGATTTCCTTGGTAACAAAGAAAAGAATACTGAGCTGTTATGGGATATCTATCGTTCTTGACTGCAGTGAATGTTGGACGATTTCCTCAAAGATGAAGAAGAGTCTCAAGGTGACAGAGATGTTCTACAGAAGGATGCTAAGGATATCATGGACTGAGCATGTGAGCAACAATGAGGTCTTGGAGAGGATGCAAGCATGGAGGAAGCTCATGCTTAACATAAGGAAGAGGCAGATGAAATTTCTGGGACACGTAATGAGAAAGGAGGGCCAGGAGAATCTGATACTAACGGGACGAATAGAGGGAAAAGGAGATAGGGGAAAGCAACGCATGACATATGTGGCGGGCTTGGGCAGATGGATTGCGGGGCATAGTCTGGGGAGAGCTGGCAGAAACACAAAGCCTGTCAAGAGCCACAAGGGATAGGGGGAAATGGAGGGCCATGATCCCTACATCCTGAAAAGACATGGCACATAAAAAGACATGTAATGAGAAAGGAGGGCATGGAGAATCTGATACTCATGGGGCAAACAGAGAGAAAGAGAGACAAGGGAAAACAATGCATGACATACCTCACAGCTTTAAGCAAGTGGATGACAGAATGTGATCTGGGGGAGGTGGCAGTGGGAAGAAACTTGTTCAGAGCGGTAAGGGAGAGAGGGAGGTGGAGAGCCATGATCGCCTACATCCTGAAAGGACATGGCACATAGAAAGAACATGGTGCAATGATTAGTAAGCTTGGCTTGCAAGAATAATTACATCTTAGTAGTGAGTTCGATCATCACTTGGTGCCCCTATAATTTTAGCTTTGTGCCACATCTGAGCTATGCTTACAAAATCAGCCTAGTAATTGACAC